ACATTGCCACCATCAGTTCCGCTGCTATCTCGGACATCATGCATTGTACCTACAAAAAAAAAAACAAAAAAGTTCAGTACATTCGTAACTTTTTCGCAACAATGCTGCATTGCCAGAACATTTTCAAGACAAGAAGGCAGTGGATGAACTCAAGAACAACATTGCGGTATCCAACTAGTTAAACATAAAGCACCAAAAGTAGGAAATCAATCTATTCTGGCTCCATGTCGACATCAGTTACTGAATAAATCTTTTTATCTTCAAGCCACATAACAATAGGACTGACCAAGGGAAGTCCCAAAAATACAAAAAGATAATTTAAAAATAAAAGAGGGCTGGTGTTCAGGAAAAAACATACTATCTCATATAGAACATCCTAATCATGTTAAACATGTACTTTTATCCTTGATCAAAGCATGAACCAAGATGCTTAAACCACAGTAGATTTTAATTGCAGCAAATTGGGCTCAAAATCATTCCAGTATGCTTAAGCTAAAGGGTACTGATGCTACTATGACTTGATGCTGGCTCAACATCAACCATAAGGATGAAACAAACCAATTTGGGCACTTCAAAGTAATAAAGAAACCATGTATTCAAGAAACGTCTATGTTGAGGTGGGACATCTAACTCAATTTTATTTCGACAGGAATAAGGTAACAGTAACAGCTTGCACAGTAGGGAGTTTGAAAATCACTAGTTCACAATGCTTTCATCCTTAGAACTGTTACATACCATAAACAGGAAATCCAAAGGCAAAAAGATTTTTGGATGGTCCAAATCAGTGGGAATACAAATATGCATCAGAATTTTCTCCATGCCCTAAGGGTCATATATCAGCCTAAACATATTAAGAATGTCAAAATGAGAGATAGAGCGAGAGAGAGAGAGAGAGAGTCTCTCAAAACGTATTGATTCTTCTAGGCAATCGAAAATGTTGAAAACATTAGAAACCCCAAGACACTGACTTTGAAGCCTGTCTCATGGACAGGAGGTGCAAAAAAACAGAAGCAACTTAGATTCAAACTTTGAATAACATACTAAACATACCCATCTAGATGGATGAATGCGGCCAGAGAACCACAAGCTCCTCCCAAAAATGCCGATAAGCCTAACTTATAGGGAAGCTCTAAAATGGCGGTAAATAAAAGTCAAATTGCTATTAGCAATAGAAAACCATCTGGCACAAGAATTATATTAGTGATCACAACAAAAATTTACCCATGAAATCAACTAGAGCTCGAACACGCCCTTTCGTTGAATTTGTAGCCGCTCTGCACCAAACACAAATCCAGGTCATGCCCCAGCTAATAGGTAACATGCTTGAAATCAGAGGCCAAAGCCCAAGCAGCAGACTGTCGGGAAAAAGAGAAACCAACATACAGAAAAAAAAAAAAAGAGAGGAGAAACTGCGAGGGTTGAAAAACAAAAAAAAAAAGGAAAAGCAGACATCTTCTTCGCAATGTTAGACCCTTTTCACTAAGTAATTTACAAGTATAAAATAATGCATGCCTGCTCTTGCTCTTTCTCCAAACACTCATGAGGATGAGAAACAAGCCGCAATTAGAGTCAAGAAAGCAAGAAAATGGGAAAGACACCTATTATCCATGGGAACTTAATCTGTTACCAGAATGACTCATAAAACTTAGAAGGAGGGGACATTAAAGGAACAGGTTGCCACTAATCAGCAAAGGTTTACAGTTATATTTGCTACAATATCAGGTGGAGGTGGCCCAAGATTTTAATCCTCCAGTAATAGTAGTCTGATCCAGAAAAAAAAAAAATTTATTTTCTCAGAATCATAAAACACATAAATTAACGGAAACCGGGCGAATTAAATGCATGGACACGGATAATAGGCAAAAGAAATTAGTATGGTATAGTATGGGTTTTAGCAGAAAGATACTCAGAGGAAAAAAAGCGGTGGGCGGGCGATGGAGCCATAGCCGTTCCTCCTATTGCAGAGAAATGCCTAGCGGTCAGACATTTACTAAAATTGCGCCTGAGGGGAAAAAACAAAAATAAAAAAAGTGAGTGGATTGTGAAACAGAGGAGAAAAGATACGAAGGAGAAAGCATACCCGAGCTGCGTTGCCATGGCTTTGAATTTCTCTCCACGAAAAGATACCCCAAAAAACAAGAGAGCAATTTAGGGATTGACTCTTTACTCGCTAATACTTCTCTTTACGTGATTTATTATGGTTTCGCGAGTGATACTTTCAAAATACCCCTATTTAATTGATTAATTAGGAATTAGATTGTCGCGGAGCTGCGACAACGGTCCTTAATTAGAACTGCAAAATAAATTTGTGTATCAAATTAATTAATAATAAAAATTAGGGGCTAAATATGCACTAACGAAAAAGTTTAAAAATAAAATTGGCTGTTTTAGTACAAATCACAGGTGAATTACCTTTGTCTTTGAGTAATGGGTTATTTTAACAAGTTTACTCGAGTCCAAATCGTTCCATGTTTTAACAAGCTAAAGTCATATTATTAAAACTTGGAACTCTAAGTTGAGTTGATCCCAAATCAAGTTTCATAATTTAACTTCATCCCAAAGAAAAGGAGAAATGAGAATGGAGAAAGAAGGTGATAAGTTGCGGTATGGGATAATGATAAGGTTGGAAATGCGACATAGTTGGAGAAGGGGTAGCAAATCCGAGGAGGAGGGAGACTTAGACATAGGTTGAGGAAGGAAGGAGAAGGGGTATTTTTTTTTTTTCAGCAACGGTAGAATTTGTATCGATGACAAAAGATGTACATTTATACGAGTAAAAGTTCAAATGATTCTATATAAAAGTGCCAGACACGTTGATGATTGATTCATTCCTCGTCTTGACAGATGCGCAAGGCATAATCACTAATCAATTTACATCTAGAATCGAAGCTCCTATCCAAATAAAAAGAGCATTTCTGGAATAAGGACTTCGGATTGTTAAAGAAGGAGGTGGTAAGTGGATCAAAAAGATTAAAAAGTGGAGGATAGATAAGAAGGGAAAGAGGGGTGACAATCTATGAGGTGGTGGGAAAAGAGCGAAAAAAAAAAAAAAAGGAAAGTTAAACAATCACAAAATCCAGATTCAATCCGAACTCGATCAAAAAATTCTTTTTTCCTTTTGTTCATTGCCAACTGAAGAACATATTGAATTCTTAGAGAGTATTTAATAATTTGATGAAAGAAACGAGAACTTTTCTAGAATGGGAGCTGTTGCATCAAGCATTTTAGTAACATGATAGGCAATAATGTAATTTTAAAAGTTATAAACAAACATATATATATAACTCATTCGGTAGATTCTAACAATAAAATGACACTCTTTTGAACTTTTATCCTATTATTTTCAATATAAAATAGCATGTGTGAGAATTCTAGTATTTTTATAATTGCGACCTCAATTCCTGAAGGCGAATTATATATTCAAATGTTCACAATAAATAATTATAAAACACAGAACCTTCCAACACCCAGAACTTAATTACTACTTTAAATAAGCAAGCAATCACACATTTTCTTTTTGGGCATATGAATGTAATAGTAAATATTTGGATTTTTGGCATATGTATGTAGCTCTTCATTACTGCAACTTCCCCAAAATTATTTTTTAAATTGTTTGCGATGAAAATTAAGATTTTTGCAACTCTTCATGATTGCAACTTCTTTAACACTATCAATTTTTTTAATCATTTTGTGATGAAAAAAAAAGATTTTTGTAAAATTGTAACTCTTCACAATTGCAACTTCTCTAAGAATATACGACTGGGTTCAGGGTTGGAATTTTTGATCCAACAAATAGGGGTGGAAACGGTATGGGGAGGGGTATGAGGTATTTTAAAAAAGTTATCAAATACTAACAAAATTCTTTTCTTTTAATCGTTTGTGATGAAAATAAAATTTTTCCTCACAATTTAATAAAATATAAGGCAATAAAGAGAAATAATTTGACGGTTTGATATATGTTTGTAACTCTTTGCAATTGCAACTTCTTTGATACTACCAGAATTTATTTCTTTCTAAATCGTTTTTGATAAAAATAAAGTTTATTTTTTTATCTATTAGTGTCATTGGCACAAATTAATATATCAAAATTATACTTAACTTATTATATAAATATACATTAATAATTATTACTTTCTTTTATATTTATACACTTTTCCTAATTAATTTTATACTATGCAAGATAGACCTTCAAAATAAGGATTAAAAGTAAAAAGAAAAAACCCCATAACCTATATGCCTAGTTGTAGTTTACCCCTAAAGTACTTTTATAGGAACTTTGCTCCTTTCATGATATAGTTGGACAGATCTACCCTTTCTATCTTAAACATTGTTGTTTTTTTTTCCTATTATTTTCGTTTTAGTTTCTTCCTTTTTTATTTTTTTTTATCTCCCATGCTATTATTATTTATATACCTCGAATATAATTTTCAATATTGTTTAAATCGGTATACTACATTGGTCAAAACTTGTTTATTTCTTAATTATGCATGTCAATATTTTATAATAGAATTCTATAGTATACAAGATTTTTTTTTTTTTTACCAAATTGTGAAGTCAATGCCATTTAAGAAATTGAAGTATTCAAATATATATGAATAAAATAGAGATATTGATTAATCAATTATTAATAGTATCAATAACAAATGAAAAAATTAACTGGTGTTGTTGTTTATCCTTATCCTTTTTTCTCTTTCACTACAAATTACATAACTTTTCTTTCTAATGTGATATATAATATGTTATTTTTGCTACAAATTGTTGAGTAATTGTGAACTCTAATTGGTTTATAGGTACTTAAATTGTTAAATTACTAAATTAATACACTTTACGATATAAGCTACGTATATTTTGTAGTAACAAAGAGTTTATAATGAATGATTAAGAATGAATTTAATAAATAAACCAACTAGAAAAATAAGTTAAAAGAATATGAAAAATTTTTATACAAGTATTTTAGCATCAGAGGAAAACAATTGGCCAGTGACGTGAGAGAAGGGGAGTAAAATACGAAAATAAAAATAACCTCAAAATAATTGCTAATATCACTTGCAGGTTTTAGGTCCTTCAACTCCTCTGTCTATTTTCTTCCCCATTTTATTGAGTGAATGCTCCTGGACGCATCAATTGATTTGAGCAATCTCCCGGTCCTCCCTGAGCCAACTTCTACCACCAGTATATATGCTATGCTTATCTATGAAAGAACTGGTTTCTATTTTCTCTTGTTTGCCTCTCCCTAATCGCTCTTTGTTTCATGAAAATTTTCAGACTCATATAGGAAGCCTTGGATTTTTAGACCCGGTGAGGAAATTAGGGTTCAATGGCAAAGCTGCAGCTGCTGGGGTGGGCTATTTTTTGTTTTCTTTGCCTTTTACCGTTTCTTGGTTCTGAAAGTGTATTTAAACTTTAGTCCACCCTCGGTTTGTTCTTTTTGATTCGTTTTCTATAGGCAATCATGAAAGCTTTGTACTAGTATGCAGTAGTATGTGTCTGCTGTTTCTTTTTTTTTTTTCCTGATTATTTTCTTTTTTAATTTTGCAGGCGCAATATTGGCAGAATCTTTACTTTCGGGCATCTGTCTTCTGATTTGGGAGTTTCGTCTGTGAGAGGAAGAACAGCACTGGCTCCGGCCACAGCCCGCAATTTTTGCACCCAGTACAATTCTGCCAAGCCCCTTCGTTTAGTTTGTTGAATTATTGTTATTTCTTTTCGTTTTTTCTACTGAAGAGTGGGATGATCAACTATTGCATCTGCTATTTTGACTTGTCACCCAACCCTTGGAACACACTACGGCCGCAGGCGGCGATTTTGTTGGCCTTGTGTATGTGTGTAGTGGTAACCCGCATTCATGCCTTTTTTTCAGTAGGCTGCCTCCTCCTCCTCCACCACCTCTGGAAAAATGGCGTATTCGCAGTCTGGTGAAGTCCATTGGTAAAATTCCTTACAGCTGAAGTGGTAATATGTTTTAAGTTTCTTTCAGTGCCTGTTTTCACAGTGACTAACTAGTAGTACTTCACTTCTTTTCTTGCCTTGTATGCCAGATAAGACAAGACTGAGTTGCATAATTGCCTTTTTTGGATCAGCTTTCCTCTTCTACATCTTTATGGAGGATGAGTATGTGTCTTTCATCTTTAAAATTCATTTGATCTCTTTATTTGTCCGTCAGCATCTTTGAATATCTGTTATTTGCTTTGTGCTGATTTGTATTTCCTCTTCAACTTGCATATAACTCATAAGATGAACAAGTGTACTTTTCCATTTTCAAGCTTCATAACCATTTTCTAGTCCTCTATGAATCGAAGAATCAGATGCTTGGGAATCCATATATGCACATAGTTTGAACTTCAAATTACTGTTTCCAATTGTACTCTTATTTTGTCTATGATGTAGAGCATGTTTTGCTATCTTGCCATGCATTTTTTGCTTAAGCAATCGAGATGTTGATTTCTTTTGATTTATCATTGTGGTAGTGCTAGAATGTAGATACGCAATTTAGAATCATGGACGTAACTCTTCCCCACTTGTCATATTTGAAGCATATTAAATTGGAGGTCAACTTATTCCTGGTATACTCCAACTTTGCATATGTGTTTTGGTTGTGCCATCTTGAGATCTTTTTTCAATTATCCTTTCCAAGGGATAGACTCTCTCAGTCCCACTCTTCCCTTTTCCCTATAACAACTGCCCTTCAGTATTGGTAACAGCAGCAGCAGTGGATGTCTAGCTGAAATCCTGGGTTTGCCACCTTAAATAAGCACATGCACGTAAAAGGCACCTTAGCCAGAACGGATACAAGGTCAACGCAGATAGGATATTGATGAATGAATGGGAGCCTTAGTTTAAGCTTTGATATGGAAACTAGAAATTCACTTGCAACTTTTTTCTCTTTGCAAATTGTTTGAATACTCGTTCTTTAGACCAGATATTTTTCTTTATTAGGCATGAATTATTAGGTTGCATTTAGGTTTCAATGATCAGATTTTCTGTAATACCTTGCTATGCTTCTCATTCTATTTGCTTGTATGAGGTGTCATTACATTGCTTATGTTCTGTCTTGAGTTCATGGACTATCTTCTTTTTCTTGAGGAACTTTTGCTATAGGGAAAAGGTCCTTGTGAAAAATTTACGAGCAAGGTTCATTATTTGATCGGAATAGGGTCCTGTAAGATGTTTATTTAGCAAGGCAAACCAATTTATTGAAGTTCAATACTACAATGAGCTGTAAGGAACTTGTTTTTGGTTATGTACATATCTCCCTGTGGCTCGTTGTTTGCGAAATGTTCAAACATTATCTATCAAGTAATGGAATAACGTTATATTTGTTTTTCCAGGATCATGGATAGGCGCCAGATGAGAGAGGGAGTCCGTCAGAAGGATGGCACTTGACCTCCTGATATCACTTCTATACGAATAGGGCTTCGAATCATGGCTTATATATTGTAAGGATTAATTTTTTTAACCACCAAAATTATGCCGGTTTAACATGACTTGAAGGGGCAGCTTTTGGTTTGACTTCATGGTGCTTTACAGTGGAGAACCTTTCTTATACGTTTGATGCACTTGTAGCTGCTCCATCCCACACACACACATATACAGAAACATAAACACACAAACGCAGACACACAATTGATACAGCTTATTGGAAGCTTGTCCTTGCATATGATCCAAGATTGAAGCACAGTTCATGTTGAAGCTGAATAATGCAATACTTTTGACACTTGACCCCCTTGGTAGTGCGTAGCATCTAATTTTGCTAGTTTTGTAGGCCAGTTAAATCTGCAGCAAGTGGCTAAAGGGCCCCTGTATAAGCTTTGCACATCATCATATTGGTTCTCAGCCCTTAGGATGCTTAGTGAGTTAGTGATAGTGGATGAAACAGTAATTATCAGCATTACAAAACTTTATGGTGTGGTGTGAAAGAAAGAGCAGGAGAAAAGAGTGCTTAATTCTAACCGAAAAAAAGAGAAGAGAAAAGGGCATTCTGCCCTTATTGTCGAGACTTTAGATAGACAAATTGCAGCGTATCTTTTCTTGGTTCTTGTCTTTGGATTTATCAGCACTTCAAAGTTCAAACAGCCAACGCTAGTGAGCTATGGGGCCTCTGCGGTTCCTAGAAACCATTTGAGAAAACGCACAGCGTGAAGTAGCTTGTGCAGGTGCTCACACTAGAATTATTCGAGTAAGTTAACATGTAAAAATAGCCTACTTTGGCTTTTGTTTTTTGATGCAACATTGTTACAATTGATTTTATGCTGGGGAAAGAGAGAGTGATTGATTTATCTAATCTATCAAGAGATTTGATTATATTTCTTCCATCTTACTTTGATAGTCTTGATTTTTTTTCACACAATTTTAAAAAAAATAGTTAATTTTGTTAGAAAAGTAATTTAACCTATTAATATTGGAAGGATCACTAATCACTATACTTATATGTTAATTAAGCAACAATAATAATGATATATTGCGTCATTCAAGACATATACCAAAATAATTATTGGTGAAAATTTTGATTGTATTCGATAAGGTAAGTTATATTTACCGACAACAACGGAGTATACTAAATAGGAGTGTTTTAGAGAAATTAAAAATTAGCTATATTTTTCAATTAAAAAATAGATTATAATTTGAAACATATAAAAAAAAGAAAACAAGACGATTAAAGGTAAAATAGAGAAGTAACATTTTGAGTGGAAAATTGCTTAATGTGCACTTTATGCTGCCAAATGCCAATGTCCAACGCTAGTGAAAGGACTCGCAGGCGGGAGAGGCAGATACTTCCAGGCCGCTGGGCACCATATAATTTGAGCCAAAACTACACAATTACTCCAAAACCGACAGGATGCATTTATTGCCATACTCCTCTAATACGACGCAACGTGGATGCCAAAATCAAAGCAAACAGTCTCCAGTTGTTTCAATTCATGAAGCAGGTTTGGAATGGCAGAACTACATTCGGGCAGTGTAACAGAGCCCATATGAAGTTTCAGCATAGTCCTCATTTCTGCTTTAAATCGATAAGATGGACCAGGCATGGAACTCTTCTTCCGTAGAACATCTCCTCACCTTTTTGTACTTTCAGCATCTGTGAAATTTTAGGAAGCATTTGAATAATCGTTGTAATATTTCGTCACTCTCCACACATCACCGAACCCAGCTCTAAAGCCGCCGCCCGCCACCCGCCACCACTCTCCCCATCACTTTCGCCATCACCTCCTCCCCCCGGCCACCCCCTTCTCCTCCATTCCCCCTCCCCTCCTACCTCTCCCTCTTTTTTTTTTTTTTTTTTTGTTTGTTGTTTCTAAAGCTTTGATTTTTCTGTTGTTTTACATTTGATTCTTGAAACTCAATGAGCTTTGGGGACTCAAGAGTGGTCCTACGGCCTTTTAACCTTTTACTGCTTTACTGGTTTACACCATAGCGTGTGGATGGATTGAAATTCATTGATTGTGCAATTAGAGATTCTTGGACAGAGGCGTTGAATGATAGTTTTCACTAAGGAACCAGTTGTTTGCCCCGTGACTCGTTCAATTGCTCAGTTGTTCTCGAGATGCTCTTCACGCATAAAAATATTGAATTAGGTTCATTTAAAAAATGAAGGGAAAAAGTGGTGGTGGGGGAAGGGAGAGGAGGTGGCAGGGAAAGAGGGGGATGGAGGGGGAAAGAGGGAGGTGGTGGTAGCGGAAGTGAGGGAGAAAACTGGTAGGAGGCAACAGTGATAGCAGGTGGGGGGGGGGGGAGATGGGGTAGGTGATACGGTAAGGGAAGGTGTGTTTTTGGTATTTTGGGATATGGTGTTTTAATATACTTCTTCAGCTAAAATTGCAAAAAATTTTATCTATTAAAAACATGGGAAAAAAATGAAATACCAAACAGAGCCTTAATTACTTAAAGAATGAAGGTAATTTCAAATGTCATTTATGGCAATGGGAAAGTAATATGTGTGATTATTACCTATATAGAGAATAAATCAAAGGTTAAAGTTCAAACTATGGTTTGCAAAATATTTCAATTGTACTCGTTCAAACAACATATATTTCAGATGAAAAAGATCACATTTAAGGCCAAAATCTAGTTGTCATTTTTAACGAGTTCAAACACCATCCCTGCCACCGCCACAATCGGTGCCGCCGCCATCCCTGAGGTAGGAAAAACAGATTTGATTTCAACAACATATGTGCTTAGCAAGCATCTAGGCATTAGACTACAACAGCAGACTGCAGAAACACAAGTATGAAAGAAAATATGATCATTTTACCCCCCAAATACAGGAAACTAAACTTTGGTTTCACAGGCAGTGCAGACGTAGCTTGGAACAGAAAAAGAGTAGATAGTCTTGGATCTAGTAGCTCTATTACCAGTCAAATGCCGTCAGACAAACTTACCCCACACAAAATATAAGAAGCCACAGTGTGTAACCACACAAATGAACAGAACAAACCTCTTGTCGCTGAACTTCAAGTTTGCAATGCCAGTCCTGTCACGTCAAGAAAAGCACATGAAAATTGATAAAATGTTGAGCAGTTTTTCAAGTTATAGATCCTAGCAAGAGTTGAAGATGCTTTTAAAGTTTTAATAAAACAATTAATGAGTTTAATACATGGTTAGCCATCTTGCCCGAGTCCGATACAACTCGATAATAACCAGAACAGAAGGAACCGGTATGCTATCAATCTACAAATCGTGGATAATTCTATATTCACGGCGATTCACTTTGACTGGACCGATATTGACTGCTTCGAATCCATGATGCATGAAATAAACCAAAATATCCAAATCAACTTGAAATCGACTCGATTTTTTTTTTCGGAGTGTGCCTTTTATAATATTTTCTGTTTTTAGTAATTTTTTCAGATTTTTTTTTGAAAATTTTTATGTGTTATAACATACGTATCACTCGATATCTAACTGATATATCGCAACGTATGTGAAACAACCGCGACTGTGACCCACCACGCAAACCATGTTTAAATAGGACCGTTAAGAAAATTCCAAAATCTAAATGAAAAAGTTTAGCACAAGACAAGACAAGCACCAGCTTCCTTTTCTTAGTAACCGAACTATGACAAAGAATGAAGACATGAAGAAGACAATTACTCTTCAGTCTTCATACGTCTGTTCTGAATATGTTTAAATTCAACTCAATCCCAACCCATTCAATATGATTTGACATCCACACAGAAAAAGTGCAACATGTGATTGGGGAACTATATCAGCAATTCTTCACCGCTTTATCGAATTAATTTAGTTCTATTCCTTTGCCAGAAACAATACACCATTCATGGAGGATTTTTTCCTCAAATTCTCCTCTGTTCCAATCACTTCTCATTTTTGGGGTAAGAGAGGGGGAGGGGGTGGTTGTTGGCTATCCAGAAGGTCAGCCTTTTAGTATCAGGACTCTAAGGCTTCTCCCAGTAGAAAAAGTAGACAACTAAGAATTTGACAGCTAAGAGCTTGTAACATCAGATCCAGGTTATATTACTCCATGCCAAAACATGAAACAAAGAAGACAAAAAAATTTAACACTAACCTAACTCAAAAGGAATTTGCTTCAACATGTAACTGAATTAAGTATGATTAACGGACAAAATCAACAAAACCTATTTATAGTGATTAGTAGAAATAAATGGTGAAGGACAAATATCTTCTCGATCCAAAGGCATGTTCAGTATGAATATGGAGACTAGGAAGAAATTTTTCAAATAATATTATTCTCAAACAAAGCAGGAGAAAGAGAGAACCTCGAGCAAGCTGACTTTGTAAACTCCTTGATATCACACAGAGTTCTGCAATTAGGAAAGAAAGTTAACAAGAATAATGAAATCATGATTCAATAAAATGACCAACAATGTATAGACGAGAGGAGCTATTGATTGCACCTTTGAACCGCACAAGCGAAAACACAAGTCCCTATAGTCAGCTGTAAACAGTCACCTGGCAGGGACAAAAAATTGGAATTTTTTGAATAAACAAAACAGAATCACATTTGAAATTCCAAAAAAAAAATTTCCTTTTTTCCTGAAAAAATTCACATTTGAAAAAAAAAAGAATTTGACAAAAAGAGCTTACTGAATGATAATTCCTTGAATTCAGCCATAAGCTCGTGAAATTCTCTTTTAAGATGTGTAGCAGACCTGCATAAGAACATAAATCCTCAGGAATTAGTAGAAGAAATTGCGAGAAATCCTGTATTTCAATTCTCTTGTTCTCGAATCAGTTCTCACATTTTACAATCTGTTCAACTAAACTAAGAGGTTTCACTTTAGAAAAGTAAGCTTTGCCCTTGAATGCCCAAAAAACTCTTTGCGGACCAAGCTACTACTGTATTGCAGGAAAAGCCAATTGCAGGATGAGCCGCACTCCTGGATTTAGTCATCTTTTAACAGTTAATAGAAGAGAATAGAGATTCAACCTATCTTAGAACAGACACTTGTTCAGCAATCCAAGCTCTCAAAACACTAGATATGTGTTGATACTTATGAACTCTGCCAAAAGTAAATTATGGGCCATAGAAGTATATACAAGGAGCCACCATATTCGATGATCACATAACTCTTTCAAATGACTAATAAATTTTCCAAATTGAGGAGAAGAAGACAAAGGATCTCATATTCCAGAAAAGTTCTATTTGCTCAAAAGATACAAAATACCAATAAAGCAGATAGTTAGCTCTAACACAACCATTATCTGCTAAACTTACAAAAAGGGAACATAACATGCATTAAGGAAAGAGAAAAAAAAGTCATGATATCTGAATCAATTTGTAAAAGAACTACCAGGATGAGAACTGGCGGCGGGCAGGCAGTAAAGCCGTTGCTCTTGCACTTGCACCGCTCCTCGCGGTTGAAGACCCCGCAAAACCCGCTGAGAAAGGGCCAACGGGGGTAAAATATTTGCCTAAATTCCGCCTGAAACGAATACATACGAAGAAAAAATTTAGGCTATAAGATATGTATACATATGTGTTTGTTGCATTAGAAATAAATTAAATTATAAACGAAATCGAAAGATAATCGAACAAAATGCCATTCGATCTAACCGAAGATGCATCGCCATCGCTCTTACTGAGTCACTGCAAAGTCCAGAAAATCTACAAAGGAAAAAAAAAAAAAAAAAAAAGATCAAAGAGCAGACATGTAAATAACCAAGCATCAATTTTTCTGTTGTTTTACATTTGATTCTTGAAACTCAATGAGCCTTGGGGACTTAGAGTGGTCCTACGGCTTGTTAGCCTTTTACTGCTTTACTGGTTTATTCCATAGCGTGTGGGTTGATTGATGATAGTATTCACCAAGGAACCAGCTGAAGGGCATAAAAATATTAAATTAGATTCATTACAAAAATTCAGGGAAAAAGTGGCGGCAGGGGAAGGGGAGGAGGTGGCAGGGAAAGAGGGGGATGGTGGTGGCCGGCAGTAGTGACAGCAAAGGGAGAGACGGAAGTCGTGATGGAAGAGGTGATATATGGTGAGGGAATGTGGTGATAGAAAAGGGCACAAGGGGTGTTTTTGGTATTTTGGGGGCATATATATATATATATATATTTTTTTTTTTGCCCTTTGGTTTCCCTGGGTTTTGTAGGCATATATGCGATAACTAAACAGCTCTTACTTTTGCTTGACAAGGACGAAATCTTGGATTTTTGGAGACGCTGTTAGGAAATCAGAGCCATGGCGATGCAGCAGCTGGGGTATTACTTTCCTTCTTCTTGTCCTCCCCCCCCCCCCGACCCCCTCTCTCTCCCGGCGGTATCTAGAGAGAAAATGAGTTTTGAGAATTTCTTCCTGTAATCGAGCAGTTCGGGTTTGTCTTTTCTTTTGGCAGCCGCAATGCGGGTGCATGCTTTGCGTCGAGGGCGGTGTCAGCTGGTTTGGGGGCTTCATCCGTTAAGAGAGGAAAAACAATAACTCTGCCACCTGCTCGCAGTTTCTGTTCTGAGTATTCTCTACTACACTGGATGCCCTTTCCTTGTTTTATTTCCTGTTGTATTGACTCTGCTAAGAACATGTTGGTACTCTATTATATAAAGAATGCAAGATACTCGTTTTCCCTTTTTTTTTATTGTACTGATTTAGTGTTATTCTTTGCGCCTGGAAGTTTAAAGGATTGTATATATCGGTCTTGGATGAACATGAAGGTAATAAAATTAACCTTCATAGATGTTAAAAGGAAAAAACACCTTCATAAATGTTAAAGGTGGGGTTCAATATTAGGTAATGATACTTAATTTATTTGTACTAGATTCATTCATAGTATGCGCTTGGTGCATACCTGTTGACCCAGTCGTCGTAAATTTGTTTTCATACTTGGCATTCCTTCTAATCGAGTTATCTGAGCCAAGTCTGGGTCAACTAAGTTGGCTTATTTGCATCTTCTATCATTGCTTCATCCTGGAAATCAAATGCTTTAGCTTACAATATATATATATATATATATATATATATATATATATATTTAGCTTATATATATATATATATATATATATATATATATATATATATATATATATATATATATATATATATATTTTTATGAATTCCTTCAGAAGTTGATTTTCTCTAGCGAATTGTTAATGCCGTGTGAAGTAGGCATTGTGGAAAACAAGGAAGATTGCTTAATGATTCAATCAACCTTTAGGGCTTTCAGATATTGTGTCACCACGTACGACATAACTAGTATTTTGGTGTTATTGTCATCACTAGGTCAGCATGGGCTTTGCATATTCTTGTTGTCTACCTCCACATCATGAAAATGAAAAATACATAACCAGATTATAACATTGAACAAGGTGGCACTGACAAAAACTTGTGAAGCAGACTTGCATAAAATCATCACCAGCTTTAAATTTTCCCAAAGAAACGAGCAGATCCTTGCTCTTGCTTTCGTCTACTGTTTTTTGCCTTGCCATTTTGCCATTGATGTTGACTTGGAATTAGGACTCCAGTTGTTCCACGGCAATCTATGTGTCATGATTTGTGACTGGTCTGCTTCTCTTAGCATTTTAAGCAACAGTTTTGTCTCTTGAAATAGTGATCCACCCCGCAAGCTTTGCAAAGCAATAATAGCCAGACCTTTTCAAACACTCAACCCTGGACCCTGTTACAGGGGCAAAACAAGTACCTCGGTGCTTAGGACTCATAATGCAGGAATCCAACTCTACCAGCCCAAGCAATGTCAAATCCAGTCAATCACAAAAGCTGAATGAATGAAGGCTCATCAGCCTTTGTGTTGCATATATGTAAACCTATATATGTCTCAGTGTGTAGGTAAACTTATGTATCCCAAAGAATACACGATGTATGTAATCAGTAAATTCTGGCGTAATTGCATTTTCGAACATCTCAATATTCCTCTATTTGTAAGTTGTAACCCTCTCTCTCTGTACGAAGTGCTAAGTGGCTCTATAACCTTTGGTATTTGTGGCTTTCTCTTCTCTTTTCTCCTGTCGGTACAAAGTGTTAAAAAGAGAGGACAAGATACCAGATTAGATATGTTAATAATGGAAGGTCATAAAAGAATGAAAGAATTTTTAGGAGAGGGGGGGGGGGGGGGGGAGAGGCAGGGGTTTGTTGTGGGACTGAGGGTGCTCCTCATTGAGATTTGAGTTCTTCACCTTTTACCTAGCCAGAGCATTATTTGACTTGTCCTGTTGTGCAGTGCTACTCCACGTTTGAAGGAAAGGCTTCATGATCGCGTGCTTAAATTTTTGGGTAAGAGTTACAGCAGGATTGTTAGTTTGTTTATTTTCATCAAGTGCTTTTCTTTTCTGATTGTATTTTTTTTTTGTCCCCTTATACTGTCAGACTACATCGCTCCGTTGCCTCTACTGATGTTTGGTGGATGTCTTGATGTCTATTATGACTATAAGGAGGAGAGGTACTTGATTCAATTGTTTTTTTTTTTTTTTTATTTTCTCTTATCTACTTCAGGACATTTTTTGGCATTTGAAATGATTTTCTTTCAACGTTGTTTAATTTCAATTTTTCAGCCGCATTGTTGATAGACGAGTTACTTATTTTATTGCTGCAAATCTTACTCTTCTTTAACCTCAAAATGACATATAGGACTTACCAAGCATATTTTTGTGCACCATTTTTCTTTATATCCTTTGGTTGAAGACATCTGGGACACGGTACAGCTCTATAAAGGCTACTTCTTGCACTTTTTGATGACGAAGTCAAAATTAAAATAAGCTGTTCAATGGGAAGAGATTTTCTTTGCCTCTGCATTTGTATTTCAAGTTCAAAATTTTAACCACTGCTAATTAGATTTCTTATTTCACCCTACTGTAAAGGCAAATAGTTTGTTATGTCTTTGCATTTCATGCTTGTCATACATATTGATTGCAGTAGTTGCATGCAGTCAGGTTATTAGACTTTATGGCAATAGGCAAACAGAACAACATGCTGATTATACAACTGTTTTCTTTATCTTCTGTCAAGTTTCTGAATATCTATTGGGAATATTTTCCTTTATGTCTTTGAAATTCACGCACAGTACACGCTTGCCCAAGTTTTTGACTTATGAGCACCGGAAAGTTCGGAGTTCATTTGTTTGTTTCTTTTTTTTTTGTAGCAACGATAATAGTTTATATAACCTATTCTAATCTAATCTAAGGAGACAGAAAGGGGAAAGCCACAAATAGTGGCTAGTGGGAGGCAAGGATCAAATCCTTGACCTCCAACCTCTACCAGGACTTAAAGGCGTCTTGGTGACCTTGGGCTGTTGGCTTGGAGTTCATTTGTTGTGTTGCTGAAATGCTTTGCTGCAATTTGATTGATGGCTCTGTTCCTGCAAATTGGCTTGCCAGGAGATTATAAAAGAGCTAAAAGCATCTACTTGCCTAATCTGAAAGAATCTTGCTAGAGTTGCTGAGTTTGCATTTTAGAAAAGATGATTGCACTGTAAAATGAATGGAGATTGGTAAAGGAAGTTGGCGGTGAGATCGTGGTTGTGTTTTTAGGTAACTTGGATTTTGTGCGTGCAAGCTGAGAAAAAAGCTGAGAGATAGGGTCATGAATTTGTTCTATATTTGTACTGTGGTCATGCCTTTGAATGTAGTGTACCTCTAAGATTTAATCTTTATCTCTGCTCCTACGGGTGTAGATAGTCAGATGCGTTGATATGATACTTTGCTTACAGTTGATTCTTTGTCCACCTTGTCTCAGTATTTTGTGCTAGATGCTGTTATAGTTGCTGGTTACTTAGCCGTATGTTTGCTGACTAAGTTAAGCTTGCTAAATGAGCGAACTCAGCTACTTAGCAGAGGTGATTTTCAGGCATTTAGGTGCAGTTTCATCAATGGGTTAGTCTTATAGCTTGTAGTAGTGGTTTTGTATTTGTATATGCTTACTCCACATATCTACTTGCACGATTAAGGGGATAATGGTATTGAACCTAGGGCCTTGGTGAGGGCACCTCACTTTGCTGGTTGTGGGACGGTTACACAGGAAAATTATGTAATACCCTCTTTAAATGCCTTGCATTGAGCACATCATATTTAGCTATGTTTATATCATGTTGTTGGCACAAATTTGTAGATGTTTATAAGCTAGCTGTATTTGTCTACAATATGAAATAGCACTCCTTTATACATATGGACTTTCCACTGTGCTTTCATGTATGAATTTTTCAAATTGATTAGAGGGATGTCCTTGATGTCATGAACTATTACCTCCTTTTCTGGAGTAACATTTGAATTGTAAGTTCTCATGGTAACTGGTAAAGATTAAATAAGGGGGCTAGACAATAGTTGGACAAGATTTGGCAGGTCAAAGATGATTGTTGTTCTTTTGCTTCATTTGTAGTTACTTGAAAAAATGTGTACAACTGAATTAGTGGCATGCACAACACAACAACATGAAATTCATTTTCTGAACCTCAGGGATCGTGGTGGCTTCAGCGACGTTAACGGCGGTGGCAGCGTCAGGGAGGGTTGAAAGTAGTAGCAAGGATATTGTTGATTGAACTAAGCTAAGACAATTAATTTGATACCTACCATCTTGTATGGTTGTAGTAAATGCAAGAATGCTAGTATTACATTCTTAATCCTCCTATGTACGTACTCTTTTTATTGCATGGATTCTCTTTTTAATAATATATATGTAATGTATTTTCAGAACTAAAGAAGATTGATGCATAACTTTCCTCAGAACTATCGTACTCGTATCCCAAAAAAAAAAATAAAGCATTATTACATGAATTTAAGTTAAGGGAACATCCGAAATCAGAATATGAAGCATTCTTGATAGGAAAAACGAGAATATGAGAAACATTATTGGAAGGTTTCTATCATTTGGTTCTCTACTGCCCATGGAACCAAAATTGTGCACACTTAATAAATTGATGAAATTAAAATTATCTAAAACAACCAAAAACACGAGACCCATCGATGGTTTTGGCTTCGTTTGAAGTTAGATATCTATCATCATAGCTCTTTTCGTGCGCATACAAATTCATTGAGGGAAAATCGTTCGAAAAGTTTCACATTTTGTCAAATGAAATTTTTTTTTTTTTTTTTGCTCTTCACTTTTAAAATGTTAGTTTTACGGCCCTTAAAAAATTAAATTAGCAAAATTTAAGTTTGGTCCAAACTTAAGTTTTCGACTACTTTTTAATCTGAAATCATCATGTAATCCGCATGTAGTCATTTTTTATGTACAAAAAGATCATATCTCACTTTTTTAGTTGTAAAAATGATTATAAATTAAGTCAAATCTCACTTCTTTAAGAAAAAAAAATTTATGGTTCGGGTCAAATCCTTTTTTTAAAGGGCAAAAAAAAATATGGATCGAGTCATTGATTTAACTTCAAATGGGATTTAACTTTTTTGCCTCAAAAAAATGATCATGTGTGGTTCATGTGAAAGTAGCTATATATATATATATATATATATATATATATATATATATATATATATATATATATATATATATGTATGTATATATGAAAGTAGCTATTTTAATTAGAGTGTTTCTCACTCCTATGTGGCATGCTTAATTGAAGAGAATTAATGGATTATAGGTCATTTGGGTTTAACCAATATTAAATATTATATTTTACGTTTAAAAATTATTCCTAATTTTAAAATCAATTTAAAAAATAATTAATCTTATCTTAATAATATCTAAAATGACTTTTAAAAAAAACTAATCTTATCTTAATGATATCTGCTTTCTATCAAATTATTACTTAGAACTATAGTAAAACCTTTCTCAAATTACAATTATTAAAATCTTACATAATCCATAAATTACGTCCTTTCATCACCATATCAATGATTAATATTCAAATTGCTCATTATCTCTTCCCTTAATTTTGAAATAACTTAGTGTAAAAAAGAGAATTAATTATTACACCGACAAAATTATCAATATTGTTGAAAACTAAATATTTACTGAAGAAAAAAAAATGGATTGCTGGATCTTTTCTATTTAATTAAATGTGAATATATAGTTTTAGGCTTATGGTCATTATAAAATTTAAATTATCTAAAAAAATATTTATAAAAAAAAAGAATATTTACCAAGTTTTTGATATGGGATATATTATCTGATGTATACTATCATATTATAGCGAAAGTATGCAAACAAATTTTGAAAAATTAGTAAATAATTGAATATTTAGAATAAATTAAATTTTAAAGTTAATATGAATGGACATGTAGGATTGTTGTTAATTTTCATATTTAAATTATTCATATTTGTATAAATTCATAATAAAAAAAAAAGACCATGCTAAGGCACAAGCAAAATTCTAATCTCTTACTTAAATTCCCAAACAATATTAAAACCTCTTTTGTTATTTTTTGTTCTTTTCGTTACTTTAATAACTTAAAGTTTCCCATCCCTTCTTTTATTTTCTAAAGTCCCAAACTAGCCACGGGTAGGGGCGGGGTTGGGGCGGGGGACCCCTCCCCCATCCCCCGCCCCGCCCCGCCCCGCTTCCCCCGCGGGGTTAATAAAATTTTTCCCGCTACGTTAATAAAATTTTATTATAGTTAAATTTTAATAAATAATCAAGTACTAAAATATCAACACATCATCAAGTTATTATTCATTTTAATTTTACAATTGAAACTCATAAAAACAATCAAACAAAAATTATTTGAATACAATCCAACATGATGAAATAAATACAACTAAAATAGTTAAGTTTTCACTTTTGGTACAAATACAATCACTAATTCATTATTGTGTTTGTGCTTTTTTTTTTTAGAAAAAAGTGTTATTCTATTAAGTATAATTAGAAATTTAGTATAAATGTATTAGTAAATTTAGTATAACTAATTAATAAATTCTATTAGTAGACATGTCTAATTATTCGTATAATTGATAATATTAATTATATTACATACACTAATATACATTATATAATATATCTAATTAATAATATCATTATCATAAGTTTATAACTAATTAAATTACATATTATATATAATTATATATATAATTTTTTTTTGCGGGTGGCGGGGCGGGGGTATACTCCCCCGCTCCCCGACGCGTTTCTAAACGGGGGGAAAAAATTCCCCCCCGCCCCCGCCCCAACCCCCGTCCCGAGAGCCCCTCGCGGGGCGGTTGTCCGCGGGCACCCGTCCCCATTGCCATCCCTAGCCACGGGAGTTTTTAGTGAGGTAAAAGAAAGGAAAGGAAAATTGAGCAACAATTAAAAAAAAAAGATTTCTGCTCAGATCCGGACAGAAATGGAGAGGAACTTGCGAGAAGCCTATCAAAATTTTTCGAATACCCATCTTGTCCTAATTAAATTGTTGAACAAATTTTTATGACCTTTTTGTATGTCCAAAATGATTTCACGTCTTTCCATAATGCCTAAACAGTATTACGAACTCTTCTTTTCTCTCATAATTTAAGTTTTCTCTTGTTTCCTTTTCCATCCTAAACTCCAAAGCCTTAAATGAATATCACTTTTGGCTCACCCAGAAAGTTGACTAACAAAACAAGAGGAAGAAAAGAAAAATTGAAAGGATTCTAGCAGTATATACACCCAAACTAGTTGTCTGGATTAAAATTTGCAAATATCGGATGTCCCTTCCGAATGTGTTTTTCAGAACACTTTTTATACTGCAATATATACTTTATATACGACAGAACGTACTTAAGAAAGATTCTGAATTTTTTCTCCCCTCCAATTTATGAGTATCCAAACTGATTCAGCACCCTGCACTACTACAGATAAAAAAAAAAAAAAAAAAATTTAACAAAGATGAAAGAGGCCTTCTGTTATAAATATTGTACATAGTTGTTTCTTGGGGTGGTTACTGCTTTCCACAGAAATACGCACAACTTAAAAAGGTATGACAAAATTGCTCACCTTGAAAGAGATTCTGTGAGAAATGATTTGCCCGGAAGGCTGGCAACGCTCCCTGTAAAGACTAGCATATTCACCCACCGAAAGCTGCAGCCAATATTGCTCTCATCTCGCAGAAGGTTCTTTTGCCCCGTTTCATCTTCTGTCCCAGATAGAATATGAACCATACCCAGCATTGAACGGAACAACCAAATAAATAGTGTGTAATAATTCAAAGAAGCAAGCAAGCAAGCTAGTTTGGATCGGTGAATCATCAGTAATGCTAATGCAAAGCACTACTGTATGTGATGGGTGTATCTCGACTTGCAACTGCATGACATTTTATGCTCGACTTTATGCGCCCACTGGAACGCTCATCATTCATTGCTGGAGGTCCTCAGGCGCCCATTCCCTTTCAATGAGCAACAAGCTACACTTTATGCCTAACAAGCGCGCACTCCCGTGTTCAAAAGCCGTAAACGGGGTTAGATTCGTACTCCTCCATGCTAAATATATATTTTGATACATTAATAAGGAAAATTCGTTTAAGGTGTCTCTAATATTTTGTCTGTTAAAAATTTTTATGTTTATTTTCAAAATGATATTTTTACGTCCCATATAAAATCAAATCGATAAAATTTGATCCAAACTTAAATTTTCGATCACTTTGTATCATATGAATCCATTACGTAACCCTTACATGATTTATTCTTTTGTAGTTAACAGAGTGACTCAATTTATATACATTTTTGCCACTAAAAATGTAGGATACAACCCATATCATGTTATCTTTTTCTTTAAAAAGTTGTGGTCTGATCTAATTTATATTTGTTTTTGCCACTAAATGAGTAAAATTTGTACATAAAAAATAATTGCACGTGGGTCGCACGGTAATTTCAAGCTATAAAGTCGTCGGTAACTTAAGTTAGAATAAAATTTTATTAATTTAAATTTATGAGGGACGTAAAATTAACATTTTAAAAATAAAAAAATGAAAAGAAATTAATTGACAAGATATGAGAAATGTTTTAAACGGTTTTCCCAATTAATAACTCATGCCATTGACACTTGTACAAGATGTCGATTGTTAGAGGTGTTGAATCTTTTGGGTGCACAAATTTAATCTTCTTAAAACCAACCTACGTTGGTTAACATGTATAGTTCACTTGTATGAAGCATTGGTGCCTTTTTAGACTAGAGGTTGCTCGGTCTCCTCTAGGTCACTGTTTTGAAAATTGAAAATGCCCGGTTGGTTAAAGTATCTGATTGAATTGTAAACCAGTTAAGTTATTGTGTCAATCCGATTCACTAATAAAATCAATCCAAAGCTGGTTAAAATCGCTCACAACTAATATAATTGGAATGTCGAACCAATTTTTACAAAAAATTTCTTCTTCTTTTTTGGTACATATCAATTTTGTCCAAATTATTCAATATTAAAATTTTGAAGTACAAGTTTTTGTATTTGAGGTCTACAGTAACGCATTCCAAAAAATATCACTAAAAACACGTATTAATTCGTACAATCTCAAGCATATATAATAAAAATATAAAAAATTTCTTTCTTTTTGCACTTATTACCCCACCTTCCATCACGTACCATCGGCCATCCCTCCTCCTCTCTCACCCTCTTTCTCTCCCTTCTTCCA